TGGCCTAAACCAGATTACCTCTGCAGGATTCATTACAAATATGCAAGGTTAGATAAGCTGCTTTCATAAACTGCTTTCCACGCAAGGCACAAATGCTCCCCTTCCATAGATATTAAATTATGACACATCTGACAGTTTGTTCCTTGTACATCGGGTAATGACATTTTGAAAGGCTGTGTAGTGATTCATTCTGTATCTTATTCAAATAACTAGGATCTTTGGGGAAGTCTTTGTCGCCACTCTGATAGTAAACCCTTCAGTGCTTGACGGAGACCCTTGTTCCGTATATATACTTCTGTCACTAGTGCTGAATACCTGATGGGACGCAGAATGCTTATGTATCGGTCCAGTGTCAGAAGTACAAGCGAATATAAAGTCACGGCTCCAGAAAAAACCTTGCAAAGCCATACACTACACAGGGAATTTCGCCAAGCAGCAATTTCCTCGCAAATAGTTCAAGCAAAATGAAAAGTCTGCACTACTGCAAGTGTTAGATCAGAGAGAGTAAGAGAAGCCATGAATATTTTGGTTGTTGGCTGAAGGCTGCTGACTCGACGTAAGGTGAAAAGCATAAGTGTATTCAGTAAAACGTCTAAGAAAATCGTGGTCACCCTGAAGATGCAGATAAAATTTTCAAACGGTGATCGCTGACAATCAGAAAGAGTCTCTTCTGAAGAATTCACCATTCTCTCGTTCGATTTATTAGGTTCCATTGTTACAGTCTTGCGCAAAAGTAGGGTTTCAAACACTTAGAAGCTTTTGGTGTGACGTATGGCAACCCTCAGTTGCTCTAAAGACACAGGCAGGCGGCCACTTTAGGTGTCATCAATAAAAGGGACAATTCAGCCTAACCGTATTTCCAGTACACATGGACTCACAGCTTTAATAATCATTGTATTTAATCCATGGTAGTATGCGTGGTCAGTTCTGTCGGGCACACGCTGCCGCATCAGGTGCGTTGATCAAAATGTGGTAGGCCTACATACATGTATCATCGACCAAGCTGTAACAAGTGAGAAAGCATCTTTGGTATTATTCACGAAGATTAATGACTGTTTTGTCAGTTGCGTCAGGCACACTGCAGCATTAAGTGCGTTCATCAACATGCGATATGTATAATTAAGCATGCTGTAAATTTGAGGAAAGCATCTTTTGTATTGCTTCACGGAGATTATTGACTTAATTGTAAGCCTCAGATTAAACTTCAGGCATAATCCGCCATCATTTATGCATCCTGGAGTTGGAGCTATGACACTTAATTGATTCCTTAGAATATGATTAATTATTATTTATTAAGTACCTAGTTAACTGTATTTTCCATTGTCGGGGTTTTTATCGAAATTGGATGCATTACTATGGTAGCTTGTATCATAGAAGCTGTGTCCAAGGTAACAGTAAAGGATTGTGTGCCATACATATGCATGATGTTGATGATCAACTAAGCGCTCAAGACATAGAACAATAATACTTGTGAACAGCGTCAGTAGTAATAAGCGAATTAAGCATTGCAGATGTGAGATTAGCCAGGGTGAAAGAAACCATGATTGTTTTAAAAGTAGGTTTGATGCTGGTGGCTGACCTATGATGTAGAGTATCAGTGGATCCAGTACTTAGTCTAGGGAAATGGCAGGCGTCATGGAGATGCATAGAAAATTACAGATGAAGATGGTTGACCTTTCTACTGGAGTGCCCTCCTCGGTGGAATACATGATGGCGTTCATGGGCGTAAACCCCAGAGGGATGAGTGTACACACTTCAAGGCCAGAAATATGTCCGCCGAG